AAATGTCTTGCTAAATAGTAAGACATTTTACACAGGTTGGGATCCTTGTAGACTAATGCATGCTCAGTTCAATCTAAGACAATCAAGTCAGTCATTCACGTTATAGAAATTACCTATAAACATATTATAAGGCAAATTATTTGTTAGATATATTTCTTTAAGTGTTTTAAAGGAAGGTTTGGTTGGTTAAACCGACTTTTGAAAAGATACAAATTTAACATTAACCAATGATAATGAAATACATGCACCTCTGAACAACTAATTAATTGATACAGTACATTAATACACCTTCTAATATGTTAGTTTTGCATTGTTGCTCACCTTCAAATATGCAAAAAATTGCTACATTGTGCAATGACTTTAATGTTATCTCAAAGTACTTATTGTTAAGTATGTGTGAAAAGCTTTAAGTCACAAAATCTGTATCAGCAGTAAAAGAAAACCGAGATAAGTAGCTCCTGCTACAATTTTGAACTGACTGCACTTCAAATACGTCTTGTTTCTTCAGTATTCTGTTCGCTTCCTCCTTGCCTGGACTGTAACCATACATTTAGAAAACTGAGCTTGTTTCTTCCTCTTTTTCCAACTTCAATAACTTTCTGTCTTGAATGGAACACATCTAGACTGCAGCCATAAGTGACGCTCATAAAGGTGACCTCTCTTTGTAAGGGAAACCATAAACATGACTTCTGGGTTTGTGCTTGAAAATAGCTCAGGAGAACATAATATGGTGCAAAAGCCATTGAACATTACCAGAAATAATGAGCCCTTATATATTTTGACTGCAAACCATACTGTATTCATATTTCTGCAACCTTGGCTTTCAAAGGACAACTTGAACACTAATTAAATGTTGCCAGTATAGCAGAGCCAAAAGAATTAGATGGATGAGAATGACCTACAGGGGATATTTATAATGAATATCCCTGATAATCTCCAGAACTGAGACCTCCTAGGATACAACAATATCCCTCAATTCTTAAAAAACAAAATAAAGTCTTTCACCAGGTTCCTGCTCAGTACCCCCTGGAGTCAGCAGAGGTGGCTTTAATAGAGTTTTCTACTTAAGGAAGCTTATTTTCAGTAATGAATGTTTAGAAAGCACACACATAATTAAAACATTAAGATGCAATGAAGAGACAATGTGAAAATTTCTGTATTATGTGCTCCCTTTATCTTCTTGCATTTTCAGTAATGTAAGTAAAGTAAAGTAAAGTAAAACCGTTACACAAAAGGGACTTTCTTAAAAGACTTAAGTCTTTTTTCTAACCCTGTAGGAGTAAAAAGTACACAATGAATTTGGAGCTGACAGGAAAAGGGCTGAAGAAAAACAAACGATCTGAAAATAACTGCCTTGACTTACTTTGTGGAAAATTTAGAAATAAAGCAAATTTATTGCTTAGGGACATGCTTTTTCCTAATGAAAAAAGATTTAATTGACATTTTTCAGATACCCTTCTTGGTGGACATTCTGAATCTTTCTTTATTCTTTGGATTTAAGATAGACAGTAGCAGAAATTCTGTTTTCCATTTTCTTTTCCTTCAATAGCATAACTCTTTTCATAAGTAAATATCCCAACAATGTTTTCTTGGAAAACAATTAAATATTGCATTACACTAAAAACTCCATTTAACACTCAAGGTTGACTTAACATCTAACATTTGTGTATACTTTTGTTTGGAAGTTCTGAGTCTTGCTAAGCTTGTTAAAGCATGATGCTCATCTGGTTATGAAATCTGCCTTTTTCTTCTTATGCAGTTTGGGTTTTCTTCTGTTTGGTGGCATACTATGATCTTTATGGTTGTATTTTGAGAGTAGATTAGTTTTTTCCATACACTCTGCAATTATAAAGACAAATTGTTTCTTGACTTTACGAAAAGCTTTAAGGGAAAACTGCATAAAAATAGCCACAGAATTTCACACCATGAATATAAAATATACCTTGTTATACCTAATCAGCAAGAGACCATGCAATCACAGAAAAAATACAGTGTTGGAATATCAATTTTTATTGATGTGCTGCAGTGACCACGAGATGGTACAGTGTAAGATCCTGAGGGAAAGGAGGAAGAGGAATCCAAGCTGAAGAGCGGACTTCAGCTTTTTCAGGGCACTGGTGGGCAGGGTCCTGCAGGATGCAGGTCTGAAATGCCAGAGCCCAGTAGCGTTGGGTGACCTTTATGGAGAGCCTTCTCCAAGTGCCAGAATGGTCTATTCTAATCCGCAAGAAAGCAAGCAGGCATGGCAGGACACCAGTGTGGCTCCACAGGGAACGCCTGACTGAGACCCAGTGCAAAATGGAAGGCAACCAGAGATGGAAATGGAGAGAGGTTACCCAGGAGAAACAGAGAAGCCGTACCTGGCCAGGCAGGGATGGAGTTTGCAAAGCTCAGCCGGCACTGAAAGTGGTACAGGGTGTGAAGGGCAACAAGAAGGGCCTCTACACCTACATCAGCAGTGAAAGCCAAGGGAAATATGAACTCACTGCTAAATGGGGTGGGCAACCTAATGAAGGACACTGAAAGGGCTGAGGTACTCGATGCTTTCTTGGCTTTGGTCTTTAGTTGCACAGTCCGCCACCCTGGTCCCTGAGCTTAGTGCCAGAATTTAGGGAAGAGAGGTAGACAAAGGCTGAATTAGGGATTGCTTAGGCAAGAGGGACACTCACAAGTCCACAGGCCTAGATGGGATGCATCTAAGGCTACCAAGGGAATTGGGTCATGTTTTGCAAAAGCTGCTCTCTATCATCGTTGAAAGGCCACTGGTTAAGAACTGAAATATCTGCCCAGTGTGGCTGTGAAATCTCCATCTTTGGCGATATTAAAAACTTGATTCAACAAGTGCTAGGCAGCCACATCTAACTTTGACACTAGCTCACTTTGAGCAAGAGGTTAGACTGGATGACCTCCAGAAATCCCACCTCAATTCTTCTATGATTTTGTGATTATGCCCATTGCCTAACCTAGGCATTTAAAACATACTCATCGCTGACCACAGATACACTGCTACCAGCTGGAAAACAAGATTTCAAAATCGCTTCCACGCACATTGAAAATGGAAAGCAAGACTTTTCAAAGTTGCAGATGTATCTAACCCATATGAAAATCTTCTATTATACAGAAGGGATTCATTATTTCATTGGTATAGAGAACTGCTTCTGCTGTGGTGTCAGGACTGTACAGTGACAGTGTTTAATCATTCCAGGTGTCCCCACTGGCATGAAAAGAAAGCTCTTCATTTCAAATGCTGTAATATACAACCTGAATACATTTCACTCTGAGTCTCATCAAAGAATGAGTCTCTGTCAAAATCCCAACAGCAGACAGATTTTGAGAGCAGAGGTAGAACTACAGTGTAAGAAAAGTGTCACCAAAAACTTCCTCTGGAATGCAACAACACTTAATTTAAGTCACTACCTATAATTGGGTAGGGTGCCATTCTTATCCAGTTTCTCATTTGAAGGCAGACAGAGAATTAGCCACACCACTCAGTTTCTCTCAGGCCTAATCAGTCCATTTTCCTTGTTGTTCTTACTACATATTGCTGGCAGCAGAGAAATGAGACAGAGATCCTAATTCTCATTACTTACATATCAAAGAATCAGGGAAAGAATGAAGACGGCAGTATGATCACTTCATGAAGAAACAAAGACATCAAAAATGAGTTTAGGACCCATTTGTGAGGCTTATGCTGATGGTCAATACAGAACATAGGACAGAAATTTATTAGGAACAGGACAGTTCCTGCAGTTCATGGGGTCTCTTTGTCACAAAGCAAGAGTGTCAAAGTCCCCTCTTAATGCGCTGTGTTTCTGTTAGCTGACTTGCAGATTAGCACCTTTTTTTAAAAAAAATCTGAAAATGTATTGTATTTTGTCCAAACCCGCCTAACACAGATAAAGGCATCAGTGTTACTGGCATCTTTATACCATTTCTGCACCTCCTTTGGAAGTTTCCTTCACAGCTGAATCCCCAGCAAATGAGCACCCATTTGCTCAAATTGTGATCTTCAAGGGGAGTACAACTACCACGGCACCTCCTGCCCAAATTTCTGGAAGCAAACATGACTTTTCAGAATTACATGGGTAACACTGACAGCTACCAGTTCTGAGGAGAGGTACCTGCACACCTGAGTACATTCCAGGAATCAACTAGACCCACAACTTCAGAGTTTACACCAATGAGAAGGAAAATACAGAAACAAAACTGGTGTCCAGCAACCAGGCTACCAGAATTTAAAATAATCATTTTTATGTTTAATTTTTTAATGACTAGTCATTTTTGCAAGCAATGCACTAACATTTCTTGTTACTCAAAACACAAAAGCTTATTATGTGAGTCACATCACATCTTTTTCTACATCCTGAGCATTTGTCAGTACCTGTCCTTTCTTTCCTTCTATATCCCATTACAAATATTGACATTTCTCCTTTCCTGCTCTCTCCACAGTCACTTTTTTGTCGTTTTCTGCCTCCTATCTACACAGCCCTGCCTGCTCTTTTCACACAAAGTCACCTACCTGCAATCCACCAAACGCTCTTTGAGCTTCCCTACATATTCCCATTTACATGCACCCATCCGCTCACAAAAATCACCCCACCAACATTTTCTTTCCTCTTCACATACGACAGACCTGACTCAACTTTCTTCATGTAAAAGAAAGCATCAGAGCAACAGTGACTGGAGCTGCCTTGCTCCAGGAATGATCTTTTCAACAACCCATACCAAAAATAAATACCAGGAGAATACCATTCCTCTTTTGATACCCAAGTATTTTGGAGCTGTTCCAATATCTTATTATATTTTTTCAGCTACCCAGAGGACATTTAAGAGGACACTTCATTTCAATACTAAAATACTTTACCATTTTTCATTATGACTAAAGTAACATTATTTTCTCTTTTCTCAGCCATGAGCAGGCAAGACTTGCTGTATTATCAAATGGCTGCACAGGCAATAAGCCACTAGGTTCATAGTTTAAGTGACAGGACATCAACTACCTGACAAGGTCGATGACTCTCTCCCTTGGAGCAGTGCTGACTGGCTCATCATTAATCATTATGATCTGATCCCCTGGTATAAGCTTTCCTTCAGAGGGGCCGCCTAGAGACAAATGAAAAAAAAAAAAAAAAAGCACAGGTTAGCAGACCATTGTAAATGCACAAACACACTCTGTTGTTCACATACTATGAGTGGGTTTTTTCTTCAACTAATGGCATGTTTAACACTGTTTCTGACATTACCAGTACTTCCTCACCAGGAACATGTTGAAAGTGAGTGGCTTAGCACCTTCTACTGAAGTTCCTCAAGTTAAGTTCCAAACCCACATCTAGCCACCTAAAAATAAGGGCTTGATTTTCTGCAGGGCCAAAAGGGCCCATAAGCAGTGGCCTAATTCACCCTTTAAGGTGCAATCAACCATACCTTACTCATCCCTGATCAATGTTTGTCTGATACTCTTGTAAGACCACCCTGAGGATGACTCCTTTTCCTGTAAATAAATGATCCTGTTTAACTGCTGTTAAGATCACAAAGTCTTTTTCCCTGGTGTCTACACCAGCTCTTCCTTGTTGCGACACATTGTTTCCTGTGCCAGGCAAAATAACACTGGAGAATATCTTATTCCTCTTTCCTATGAAACATCACTTAGATATTTGAAAGTCATTCACAGGTCTCTCCTCTGACTTTTCTGTTCTGGGCAAAACAAACCTGTTTCCTTCAATCTGAAGACAGTAAGTTTCTATACCTCTAGTCTCTGAGTCTCTTTTCCTCTGGATTTCTACCACTCAGTGAACACAAGTTTTATGTACGTCCAAAAGCATTGTCACTTTCAGTTAGACACAGATATTTAGCATTAGTTTGAGTAGACAATCAGACATGTACATGTCTATGTACTTTGGATCCCGACACTGCTGAAATACATATTGAGTTTATGCTTTATAAAACGCACATAATACTTTGCTTCTCAGCACGATTACATGCCCAGAAGGAGGTGTGACATTGCAACTGCAAGTGAAAAGGTGTATCCTCTCTAGTCTTCTGTCTTTAAACTCTGCAATGATGACACACGAAACCTGCAATGATATTACCGATATGAAGATACAGTCTTAAAAGAAAATGTTTCAGTATCAAAACCAATTCATTTAACAACTGAGCTAATGCTGTTCTTTTCCTCTGTGGTTTCAAAATTTTACTTCACTTATATATCCAGCATAAATGGATACAAATCCATGTAGGAGAATGTTGTCCTGAGCTCACCTGTCCTGTTCACTTGGAACAGAATATAATAAACACCATTTCCATAGTGAACTTTAACATAAAGCTACATTAATAAAGCTAACTTGGGAGAAAAGAATTGTCTGGATCTAGTCCAAATAGTTACACCTCTCATTCCATCTGAAAGCAATACAAATGTAATCAATGCACACACATGGGTAAATGACATCAGAACTTCACAAAGTCGATATTGCCTCTCCTCTGCTCTCTGCAGGGGTTCTGGAGAACATATCGAACAAGAACAAAGTCAAATCCCTGCCCTTGGCTCCAAGGCAATTTTACGTAACAACTGAACTTTTAAGCATAGAGAGCAGGAGCCTGCTACCTGGGAAACTGAGCAGTCCCAGGTCTGGTCACCTATAAGTTCAAAAATACCACAAACCTCACTAATTTTCACTCCAGGTAAGACGTTTAGGGATCTATTTTGACCTGGCTTTTTGCCACATTACACAGGAGTATTCATTTAAAAAAAAAAAAAAAAGCCAGCAAGAACGCCCCCTTTCTCAAAACCAAATACTGTAGTTAGAAACCTAGTTTCTCCTTGGGAAGTTGATGACAGAAAGAATGAAAAAAATGCAAGTTTTAATCTCACAACTCAACATACCTCTCGAAACACTGATTCAATGGCAATGAAGGTGACATCAAACCAATATAAACATAACAGGGAGAAGACCTTCTTTTCTTGAATGAAGTGGGCCAACTTTTTTCAGGCAAACAACAGTAACGGCTCAGAGCAATAACCTAAACCTGGCTTTCTGTTAAGACATTTACATAACATTCAAAAATGAGTGCAGGGAGGGAAACTACTCAGTAATACAAGGCTTAAAATCCTACCTAGCATTTGTGTTTACTTTGTCTGCCTGAAAAATTTAACAGTACTCAAATTTGTAACTGTATTTCATCTCAGTAGACTAAGTCCAAGTTTGCTTTTGGGGTCAGGTGGGGAAAACGTACCTGGTGTTACTGAGCGTACAACAACTGGCTTTTCACTACCAGCCACAAACCCAAATCCTAGCACAGGATCCCTCCTCATTTCCACTTTCCGAGGGGCTGGAGGGGTTATTTGGCAGCTCTCTATTCGAGGGTCTTCAAATGTGGCTGATTGTGTCATGTGACTGTGAAAAAAAAAAAAAAGATGGAAAAAGGAAAAAAATCATTAAAACATGATTTTGTGGTATCTACTTGAGCCAAGCAATTTCTGCAACGATATGAGATGAATACCTGAAATGTTCTCACTATAGGAACGAAAACATCAACTTAATAATTTTCTATTAGATTTTCTTACACATAAAGTAATAATGCTGCTGGCAGGTCTCAAATAATAATCCATAGTATCAACCTATAAAAAGGTCTGTCTTTGACAGCATACATTTAATCATACCCCATATATGAAAGAAAAATAACCTAACAATAAAGCCTTTGTCGTCTGTGCTTGAATTTTTCATCCTTCATTTTTTGGAAGGGAAAAATAATAGTGAACTACTCATAATGTAAAACATAACAATTAAAGTCTGCCAGCCTTTTGCAAGAAGAGAGGACACATTTAAATTTGGTTTTCTAAAATGTTAAGTGAGTTTCCAAGCTGAGTCTTCTCAAACAGGCTACCTAAAGCACAGGTAACAGCTCTATATTTACTACTCAGGTAAACTCTCCGAAGTCACTCCAAACTGTTCCAGGGAAAAAAAAAAAGATATTAAGAAAATAGATTTATCGGCAATTACTAAAATACTTTACTTTCAGCTACTATGACAAAGCTTACTTATTATACCTAGAAGAAAAAATTCTCATGGCTGGAGGGAAAGATCTTGATTTTTCAAGCAGAAAATAAAAAAGATGAAAGCTATCCAACACAACATATCCATGAAAGAGGACATGGTTTAAAAGCACAAAGCCTTCTAAATTAACATTAATAAACACTGAAATGTGACTGATGCTGTATGCAGACTGAACTGGAACCTACTTCGTGTTTCCTACCCCATGCCTAGAGCTCCCTGCTGAATCACAGCTGCCAATTCCCAGTGCCGATTACACAGACAAACAGACCACTCCAGTGTCATACCCTTCCAAATGCCATAAATTGAACGCATATGCTTCAGAAAACCTAGTCACCACTGCAAGACAACAAGCAATACCTGGTCAGCTTAGCATGAGGACAGACTACAGCTCATGGCATCAGGTTACTGCAGTCTTGACAGAGCTCAGATGGTATTTCTTTAAAGCTGCCTGGCCAAGAGTGAACTCTTTTTTTTTATCTTCAAGAGACTGTAAACCTGCAGGTGCTGAACCACCTCCAGCTCTCAGTGGCTAAACGCAGTAGACAAAGGGAGCCAAGTCCCAACCCCGTCTGCAGGGAGGGCGCAGGCTCCTGTGCTGACAAAGGTAATGGCCAGGTACCCAACCTAAGAACGCCGCAAAGGACATTACAGAGGCAGATATCCCTACAGCAGTAGGCAGTATCATCAGTTTGAAAGTTGGCCTCCTCGTAAATAATTAACAATATGAAAATCAAGTAATTTTCCCATATCCTTGATAATCTTACATATAACATGTTATAACGTGAGAGTTAGGGGATGTCCCATGTGACCAGAATCATTGCTTTCACCTCCTGTCCCTTTTTCACCTTCAAATACAATTTCCTGAAGAACTCCAGACAGGCAGTCCATAAGGAGAAAGGCATCATTCAGAGACCTGTTTTCAGCATCAATGACACGCAAAAACTTCTCTGATCTTTCCCCAACACATACACCTTGGGCATGACATCAATTTCGGTTCTCTCCATGGTATGCTTCTGTTACTGATACACAGAGGAGCAGCAAAATCGCAGTAAACTCTCAGTGGGAGTTTATTCCTGTGACTGGATTTTCCTAGGGCTTTTCTTCAAAGAAACGCTCTATCCCTAACACTAGATTCAGCCTGCCTAAGAGCAACATGTTGCCTTTTTATGCATACGATCAGAGGTAGCAGAAGCTACTTCGTTACAAAAATAGGAGAGAGCGAGAATATCTCTCTGCTCTCCTAGTATCTGCATAAGGTGAAGTCAGCATAGAAAATACATTTTCTTTCACTGGGTAGAACATCACATCTGATACTTCATTCTCCTCCTCCTCCTCCTCCTGTCACTCTAGATTTTGTCAATTAGGTAATTTTCTATTATGTTTATTCAAACGAACTGTTAGAAAATCCAGAGTTTTATGCAGACTCTTTATGAAATCTATCTTGATGACCTCCCAGCCACCCTCCTCCCCATCAACTCCTATTTATGATTTGGCCTTCTAGATATTCAAACATCTTGTCTTTCAAATGGGACACTTTCTGAGGCGTCACTGCTGTTTCAAACACTATTTCATCTCGTGAACTTTGCTTTGGTAAAGAATATGAAACTCTACATTTGTCACCTCTTTTAGGTGACTGCCTTACCAAACTTCCCACAAAGTTAAAATGTTCTATTTAATAATTTCTTCCTAACAGCTGTTTCCATTTCTGTAACCGGGGTACTATGAGCTGATGCTGTTTCCAAAGAGGAAATGCCGTATTTACGAGCAACTTGAAAATATCGCTTGAGCCTTTGAGAGCTACTTCCCTGGCACCGTACATCCTCTCTCTTCAAGCACTTGTGTAGTCTGGTTTGAAAACTAAATCATGAAGAAAAAAACCCCAAAACAACCCCGCAAAACCCCCACCAACAGCTGCTCTTCAGATAACAAATTGCAAGAGCACACACAGAGACTTGCTCAAAAGAGCAGCTCTGCTAGTGGATGCCTCGCTCCAGCCATTGCATCGGCTCGTACTGAGAATCTGCAGCAGCACAGCAGCAGTTATTAAAAGCCTAAGCAAGAGGATCAGCGAGGAACAGTCCATCACGATTCTGAGTGGCGCAGCAGGTTTTATGGGTTTTTAAGGTTATCCACCTTCAAATACATCTACTAAAAAGGCTCTGCATCTCACACTTCCACAGCCTGCTGCATCAGATATTCTCGTATCATTCAGTACGTTGGAAGTGTATTTCAAGAGAGCAGCAAGATATATGAATATGATCCCAGAAGAGATTAGATGAATACTTAAAGCTTTGTGTGATGGTACGTTAACAAACCTGCTTCCTCCTGTGGCTAGCCCATTATTGAGATGCCAGTCATAGTACCATAGTGCAAGACTAATTTGAAATTTGCATTACTTGGAGGCATTTGATCTCCACCTCAGCTATGGAAAATATTGACTCCTGAAGAATAACTATGCTAAGAGTTCTAAACCAGAATCTAATAAACTTGGACTCAAAACAGCCACCTTGGGGAACCTTACACAGAGCATCACTTAAACAGTGAAACATCTTATAAGAATAACTCCAAAACTGCAAACTTCCCCTTTGCTCCAAACACAATAAAACATGTGTTTAGATGGTACTGTGCCTAACTTATACCTAAGGATTTATTTTTCTGAAGGAAAAATGGAAGAAAAGGAAAAAGGCTAGGATTTTAAGTAGGAACTGTTCTTTCCACGTACACAAACACAAGCTGCCCTTAGGTCGCCTTTTCAAAGAGGGATACTTATTTCCTACCGTTTTCAATGACCGAGATGAGTCTCTGCTTTACAAAAGGCTATCTTCTCTGATGTGCTCTTATTGTGAGCAGTGGGAGACAGCTGCCATTATTAAGGAGAGTAATTCTTAGAGAATTTCTTGAACAGAGATTTTATATACCAGCCTCTTCCGAGAGATAAACTACCAGCTACGGAAAATCATAGCAGAAGTGTAATTCCAAGTACTTATGCTTAAAAGCTTTTTGTGGCAACTACTCTACTCAAAAGAGAGGGTAACAGGGGAAATAAGAGAGAAGGCACCTGAGTGTGCATGCACCGACACACAGAGCAGAACGGAGGCATTGCAGGGTGGCATAAAATTGGTGTGCACGCTCATCCCCAAAGGGGCCTATGGTGAGTGAAGGAGGAAGAAAATTAGGAAAGAAGAGTACGTTGCGGGACACTGACCAGCTGCAACAAGGCAGCCAGCACCTGCAAACACAATTCAGCTGCCCAGGACATTATGGGGAGCCTAACGTAACAAATACATGCCTGAATGCATGCTTGGGAAAGTCGGAGGTACTTTGCATCTTCACATCATTAGCTTCATAATGATTAACTTGGTAACACTTTCTATGGAAACCTTTTTGGTATTGTCCTCATTCAAATTACATGCTGAATAACCCAAGGAACATCTAAACAAAGATTAATTGAGAGCTTGATTTAATAATGCATATTAGTAATTAAAAGCAAAGTATCTGAGCACAACGCTTTTTCAGCCTTTGGATTTTGACCTGTCATTCCCTGACACTTAGGGATTAGTGGGCTAATTCTCAGACGTTTGTCTATGGCAGTTAAGAAAAGCCTGTCCTCAGCAGGCTGAAATTTGTTATGCAGGAATTTGCATTTCCACAGGAAAATGCTTAGGGGTCTAACTCTTCTAAGAAACTGAAAACTATGGCATGAATTCAGCGACCCTGGTTATGATAAACATTATTTTGAAAATACGTAACAAAGGCACCCGAAAAACTTCAGCTCCATTCTGCAATGACATCCCAAAAAAGAGCAGAAAAGGCGATACCTCAAGGTGAATTTAATATAGCTGCACAACCACAAACACTAAAACAACTTAACCGTAATCAAATGGCTGTTGCATCATATCATGACAGTGTGGATACAGGCTGCATTTTTGCATTTCATGTTGTATTTCCGTATTACAGCTTGTTTCAATTACTTCAAAGGTTAACACCAATTCTCAATTTTGAGGGTTTTAATCTTTAGCTTTTAAATAGTTACAATGGCTCTGATATACAGATTGATTTAACTGCAAAATAGACTCTGTTTTCACTTGAAGCACAGCAGGTGTAATCCTGGTCAGTGATGGAGAAGAGTCTGTGGAAATGTTAAACCACTCATGGGCTGATAAGTGGAAGTGGGCGAGGAGGATGGAGATAAGGACTTTGACAAAGGTTTAATTCAGAAATAACAAAACCACTTCAAATTGTTGAGCGCTGTTAAAATCCTATCTCTAACTCAGAGGAGGTGGAGGATCTGCTTTGTTGATTGCAGTTATGATTTTCAAAAAGATCTATGCAAGTTAAGG